GCGGTGCGATGGCGTTGCACTTTGCCTGTACCATATTTTATAAGTTGCATATAAGCTTGAGGGTGTGTATGTATTTTGTATTCACTTGTGGATATGACAGTACCTATTCAAAATTCTTTGCATATGCATATGAATGATGTGTATGTGTAGGTGTCTGTTTATTTCGATTTGCATCAGCGTTTGATATTTTCCACTTTGTATGCAATCATACATTAATGCAGCTGCTCAATTGCGCATATTGCAGTTTGACTATGCCACTACTGCTGAGCAAAGAAATTACACACGCATGTATGTATTTATATTTATGCCTATACGAGCATAGGTAAATGCATATGCACTCATGCCTGCTCTCAAATATACATACTTCAAAACTCATGCACATTTGTGTATGACTATGAATTTTATTTTACACACATATGCAAATAGTATTTATATGAATTTCAATATTATTTGTTTCTACGCAATTTATTTGGAGTTGGAAAAATAGCTTCAATGTGATTTATGGTCGAATTTTTGTACCCAGTTGAAAATGGTTCACCAAGGACAATAACGTCAGCGAATCATACATATACATAGCTGATATGTGCTGACCGAATAGGTCTGGGTTTCTTCATTTTTTCTCTCCTACGTCCTGAAAATTTCGTTACGAATAAGGTGATTTTTGCCAGCGGTTTAGTCACACTTCCACACAGCGGCCAGAAAATCAAAAAAAAATAAATTTGATATTTGTTTAAATTTCCCTCAACCGGTTTGTCATAACTTCAATAATCCCAATAGGTTAGGTTTGGTGGCAATCCCAGAAGTAAGAAACTCACTTTGGCAATTAAAAGATTATCCTTTGTGGTACCACATTTTGAGCGGCACCCAATACTTAATCGATACAACTTCTCGAGCCGATTATATAATTACGAATTCTGCCAATCTCAATGCCCCAGAGCTAAAGTATTTCAACCTTAGCCTCGCGAAAGCTGGACACCTAAGAATCTAGTGTTTAGGTGAGTCCATCTCGTCATCTTCCGGGCCTTACTGAATTGATACCGATTGGACAGCACACCAAGCCGCTCCTTATTCGACAATAACATTTCAAGGGTACCCTTTCTAGCAAATTCGCCTGCCAAAAAGTTCTCCCGCAATGCCGCTGTGACTCGGAACCCATATAAACCTAATACAGGACTATTCCGACGCAACTGAAAGAGAGGGCAGACGTCCTTTAACTAAATTAGAGCGCACCTCCAATAAACTTAAGACCCTCATAGCTGCTTGGCCATCAGAATAAACACCCACCTCTCTAAAGTCATCACACTTCTGAGCAGCGACTATACTGCCTCCTTAATAGCATCCACTTTTGCCTGAAACAGAATCCCTTAGTCCTGAATCCGGAACTTAGTACTGATGTAAAGCTCTCGATAGAATACCCCTCCGTCCGTGATCCGTGATGAAATCCACTGCTCCCCCTCTCAAGAAATTACGCCCGGTCCAATTCGCCCTGGAGATTTGGCAGCGAAGAAGCTCCTAGCAGCCATTTCGGTGTCTTCCTTGCTTTTTCCTCGATGTTCGGCTTCCATTGCAGCTTCCTATCGAAGATCAAGCCTAAGTACGTGACCTTGGCAGATATCTGTAAGTGCTGACCTCCAACAGAGGGACGACCAGTGCAGGGATTTTATACTTTCTAGTCAATAAGATCGGTTCTGTCTAACTGGGATTGATGGCGAGGCCACTTCTGGCCGACCAGTTTGTAACCAAATTAAGATACCGTTGTGAAAGTTAATAACGGGTATAAAAGTACCAAGTTTAACCATAAGTACAACATCGTCTGCGTAGGAAATTCCCCGACAACCGCGTTTTTCCATCTCCTCTCGCAGATCGTTGACGACTACGACGCAGAGAAAGGGTAAGAGGACTCCCTCCTGAGGAAAGTCCCTATTAACTGTGCGATGCAGGCAAGCGCTGTACCATACTGCCATGATAGTTCTGCAAGCATTACTTCCGACAGGGTAGTAAGCCCCTCGATACCGGGGAAGCATCCTACGACAAAATCTTTATGAGTAAAGGCTTCTGCCGTCAACCTTAAAATTTTGTCCTATGCAGTTTCTACCGACCATCATTTACTATAAGCGTGTTGATCGATCTCGAGGAGGTGCAGGTCAACCAGTAGCTCCACCGTTTTCATTAGAAACGTAAGATCTTTTTCCGGCCTCCGGTATAAACACCACCTTGACAACCCTCTAACCTTCGGGAATACATATACCCTTATCATACACAGCTCGCGTAGAGATCCTGGGGATTTGAAGTGTTTGAACGAATTTATTGCCCAAGTCAGGCAACGGTCATCTAGAAGGTAAGAAAAAGCAGCGCAATTTCCACGTACTTCCCTTAAAGAAATTTCATCTGGGGAAGGATTAAAAAGAAAGTGAGTATATAGGAGCAGACTCAAAACCCCCATACACAACCCTAATGGCTTGAAGAAATTTGAAATTTCGCTTGGTTTATCAAGCTTCTAGTGTGAGTTATTTCGCTCTTTATAATGCTCTTTATGCTTTTAAGGCGACTTTCATGACGTCTGGTGTTTGTTTCGTACTGGGCTGCTGTGTATGTGCTGGTATGAGAAATTTAAAAGTGGTGACTGATCATATAGAAAACGTTCCGCCACAACAGTTAGTTATTAAAGCTGTTGAAGCAATAAAAGGAATACAAGTGTAAAACAAAAGCAAAAATCTATGCAATCTGAGTATGCAGAACAAACAGAAATTCGTGGCAGTATGGTGTAGTTGCTCGGGTGTGATTGTAAATTTATTTGTGCACACAGTTAAGTGCCTAAATTTTCGCTTGGTATTAGGGATTTGTAACTATGTAAATGTAGTATGGCTTTACAATGCTCAGGCGTAATGTAAAAATAAAGAATTTCGGGATATTCGGGTCTTGGGACTTCTTCTGGATTTGCGGAACTATTTAAGAATTTTCAAGATTTTTGGGTTTCTCGGGCCTCTTTATTATTTTCAAGACTTATTCGGGATTCTCGGGACTATCGCGGGATTTTCGAGAATCATAAAAAAAAAGTCCCGTACTACTGTTAGGTGGCTCATATCCCTAATCTTTATCTAATGCAACTGTTATACTAAAATTGAATGGGCTATAAAAATGCTTACTTAGAATTTTGCAAAAAAATCTGAAAAGTAAGTTGCACAAAGTTTAGAGATTTTTTTTTTTTTTTTGGGAGTAGTATGAACTACATATATCTTTATAAAAAATTATCGAAAAATGGTAGTGTCTCTATATTTTCGAGATTCTCAAAACTATTTGTGATTCGACACCTCTTCGGGAATGGGGGAACTATATCAGGAATTTCGTAGTTTTGGGGTTCTCGAAACTATTTCGAGATTTTCGAAACTATATCGATATTTTCAGAATTACCTCGGGATATTCGGGTCTTTGGGACTTATTCTTTATTTTCGGGACTATTTCAGGATTTTAAAGGTCTTCGGCATTCTCGGCATTGGGACTACTTTGAGCTTTTTATTCTGGATTATCGGAACTATATTATGTAGGGGTTTCAAGACTATTTCGGAATTTTCGGGTTTCTCGATACTATTTTAAGATTTTCAAGACTATATAGGGTTTTCAGAACTACCTCAGGATTGTAGGCGCTATTTCGCAATTTTCGAGACTACTTCGGTATTTTCAGGACTATTTCGGGTCTTTCGGAAAAGTTATCGATTTTCGATGCTGTTTTGGGTTATTAGGGGCTTCTTCGGGATTTTCAGAAATAAAATTGATTCGTGATTTGCTTCGTTGAGCAGAGATTAGGTGAGGTGGATTGAGTTGAGTTGAGGTGAATTAAGGTGAGGTGAGTTGAGGCAGGTAGAAGTTAAGGTGTTAATTGCTTTAGTTTTTCCTAAACCATAAATTATAAACATTTTTTTTTTAATTTAGAATTTAGACATCCCGAAAATTGGTACTTTAAATACAAAAGAATGTAAGAATACCCATCATTAGGCCAATTCTAGTTATTAGTAAGCTCTTCAACAGCAACCGAACACTAAGCGTTTACTTGGTGGTTCTTAACATAACTGAAACTGGATTTTCTTAGTCATAATACTTGTAGCTCGCTAATTGAGTAGATTGTAAATACTTGCAAACATTGTTTATTTGTGAATAAAAACTGCCATATTTGGAAATATGTTTGCATGAACTCGTTATTTATTAATTTGAACCTATTCGTGATACTAAATAAATCAGAGTGACTAAAAAATTCTTAGACATAAGGCATATAACAATGAATTTAAACAAATGTATGTACATTAGGATTGATCACAAAAAAAAATTGCGTTTTTTTACCGGAATTATAAGAAGTATTACTGACTTCGGTCAAAATATTTCGCAAAAATATTAAGATTTTTGTGAGCTGGATCCTCAAAAAATCGCATTATTTTGATACCGCTGATAAAAATTTGTAACATTTTTATGCAGACCTTTTAAGCTTAAACTCTAATATCATCTGAGGTTATTTTAAAGAAAAAAGTATTTTTTAAAACTAATTTCATTTATGAAAAACACGATTTTTGGAGGTACTTTCAAATAGTTCCAGCTAACTTAATTCCCTATATTTTTTCGAAATATTTTGTCGGAAGTCCTAAATATAATACATTTTATATTTCCGATGGAAAAACGAAACCATATGTGCATATTTGTATGTATACTCTGTTATTAACAAAATATAATTAAAATTAGCATTGATTGTGTGCCATGCCAACTGCTTGACCGGAATGTGGACTTTTTATTCCGCCCTCTGTACATAAATTTATACTAAATATTTAGATGCTTTACATTTTTATTCCCTTTTAAAATTTCCCCTGTAATAAATATGTTCATTTGTATTTACAGACACATTGTTTGTAACATTTGTACAATTTTAAGTGCATGTGCACTATTGAATATAACAAAAAGCTTAACGCCCATCAATAACTCTAAATTTATTTCTCTTTCCTTTCCCTTTCACTTAGGATCAAGATACTACCACAGTGATACCCGAAGAAACCGATCTAAGTAATTCAAAGATCACTGTCTCCAGTCAAGATGAAGTTAAACATCACCACGCTAATGGCAAGCGATCGAGTATATCTGAGGATCGTATGGATAAGGATGATGCTACATGATTTGCAGTTAAAAAGCATTGAACGCCACATACATACATACATACATAGATAAATTTATATACATATGTATATATGTATGTATATGTGTATGAAAAGAGTGATATTAAATAAATGCAAAGAAAAATTTACAAATATTAAATAAACGAAAATTAGGCGACCAATGCTGCAGCGCGCATAAAACATTTATAAAAATTTCAACAAATAAGTTCCATTTCCGTTTTTGTGTTTACATGGCTAGAAAAATAACATACAAACATACATTTATTCGTGTTAAACAGCAAAGTATTTCTAATTATAATTAATATTTGTTAGCTGTAATGTTGATTATTTTAGCAAAGTTGAATTGTTTTGTTTGATTTATCGTTTGTTAGTTTAAGCAACGAGAATCGCTAGTAATTACTTTTATTTGATAGAAATTATTTTAATTTTACCAATACATAATTCTATTTCCATATACTTTTTGTTATCTGTATTGTATGTGTATATGTATTATTTGCTATTTTCAAAACCACTTCAAGCTATTCCTCAAATATAAATATAGTAGATATGTGTATTAAAAATGTCTTTACTGTTCATCCAATTGGTTTTGTTTCATTTTTTTTGGGGCGAACTTATGCGAGAAATGCAGGCTGGTTATTGTTTAGATCTTTAGAGATACATGTACATTAGACTGCATCACTCCTCATACAAAAAAAAAAAAAAAAAAAAAAAATTCGGTACCGTTTTTCCATTGGAATTATAAATTTTTTTTATATTTTAAGACGTCCACCAAAATATTTCGGAAAAATATTAAGATTTACGTGAGCTGGACCGATTTGAAAATAACTCCAAAATCGGAGTTTTTTTTGAATAAAAATACTTTCTTATAGATTTAAAAAAAAAAATCTTAATAGTTTTCCGAAATATTTTGGTGGACGTCTTAAAATATAATAAATTATGTACTCCCCGGGGAAAACCGCAACGTAGTAGATCAATGCTTAAAGCTTCTTTTTATACATGTTATTCAATATATACACTTTTTCTAGTTATTCGATATAATAAAGAGTAAAGAGGAAATCCTGTAAAGTTAAAAAATATTAAATTTATTGGTGCATAATTTCGAAGTACCAGGTTGACCAAGATTTGGATAGCTTTAAAAAAATATTTTGCAAAAACAAAATTGCATTTCGATATCTACTAAGTAAATTTCTTACCCCAAAATTTAGGTGGTAACCCTATTCCGAAATACGCTGGAATGTATGGCACATATCTTGAGCGTATATGTACTGTGTATACTTAAAAACAAAAATTCTGATTGAAATTAATAAAATAAAAATATGGATTACATAGAAGCATGGCAACCCTGATGGAAAATATATTCTGACCAAAGTGCTCAACAATGCCTTTTATTTGATATCCATATTGCGATGTTTTAGATAAATTGTGTAGTATCGAAAATAAGTGGCAACCTTACACTATTATCCTAGGGGTAACATTTTGTATCTAGGGAGAGCAATGCTCAAGAACCTTTTCTTTGTACACATGAATAGTAATGCTTTATTTTTGTTCTAAACAAAAAATTAAATAAGTATACGATTCAAAATAAGTGGCAACCCTAATAAAATATTTTTGAATTAGGGATCTTTAAAATACCTTTCATTTGATACCCATATTATGATTTTTTAATTAATTTGTAACTAATTTCGAATAGGTGGCAACCTTATACGAGTCTTCTCGGAGGTAGTGCCTATTCATAAAACCTTTAAATCCAAAATATTATCTGTGTACAAACTTTCATCAAAATCGTTAGAGCCGTTTCCGAGAATCCTATGGATATATATATATGTATACGAGAATTGCTCGTTTAATGTAATAATATAGGTATTGAAAATTTCCTTTTAAAATTGTATCCTTGAATATCCTTGAAAGTTTGCAATACCTACTTTTGGAAAAATTATATATTAAGGACTAATATACACACGACCCATCCTCGAATTTCGTCCTCCTAATTTTGTTAGATTAAAAAGATAAAATTAAATAAAAGCGCATTTTCAATACTTATTCATCCTTGTAAACAAAAAAAAATTTAATGTTTTTCAATTTTACAGACTTTGGTCTTTCATTTGGTACCTATATTATTATTGCACATTCCACCTTTTTTAATAATTTTTTGAATTAGTCACATCTTTAAAATTTCAAAGTCTTTTAAAAAATCCTGGCGTCAGAGTGAAAAACTGAAAACGCAGCTTTACTATTATTGGGCCATTGTTTCGTGTGTTTTGAATTTTTTTTTGTTTTTATCGCACGGTGGTTTACATGAAAATTCAATAGGAATCAGCTTTTACTTTTGTTATTCAAATATTTAAAAATAATACAAGGAACACTGCGATCTAGGAGATCTTATCCCAACCTATCTCATGAATAATTAAAGCACCAGATCATTTAGTGCATTCTGAATTTACACATTCAATAATCATAAGTTTCAAAGAAGAACCATTGGGTTTTTAAAAATGGTATCGATTCTGCGAGAGAAAATGTTGCGGAATTCTACTACGGAATTTGAAATTCAAATTCGAATTATGCCATCAGTTTATTAAAATACATGTGATGAGTTTTAAGAAAATTTTAGTTTAAGAATACTTTTGAAAACGAATTTCAAAAATGAGTTGTCAAATTAGAGACCTTAGCCTGTAAATGTATGATAAAGTTTTATTTTATTTTTTTTAATTAATAACTTTTTTAATCGGTAAAGCGTGATTTGAAATTCGATGAAAAAAACATGCACAATGCGAGACTGCTCTTCACTTAGAAACGGCACTCGGATCTCTAACAACTCTGACTAACGTTTGGAATATTTTTTAAGTTTTTGAAATTCGATTTTTGGGTGTATTAACGCCATGTGGCTTCACTAGTTATTCTTCATACACTTTGACATGAAAAAATATTAAGGTACTATCTACTGATTAATTAGCCAGCTCTTGCATTATAAGATAATATTTTGTCGCCTGGTGTTTGCTTAAATATCACAAAAAAATAAATAAATAATAGTCAGTTGTCTATGTTTGCCCACCACCTTTATTTACATAATTAAATTTAATATAAAATTATCTCAGTACATATTTATTTAAATAGCCAATTTACTTTCAGCTTTTTAATTACAATTTTATTACATTTATATTAAAACCACCTTAACTTTTATGTGTCAACATAGACATGCAATTAAAAAGCCACCTTCAGTTTGTGTGTATGCATGTGTGTGTGTAGTAATTAATATTAAATATTTATAAGCGTGATATTTTTACATTAATCGCACTTTTCGTGAAATATTTTGGATTTTTTTTTGCAGACGCTGCTGTTTTGATAGTAAGGCATGGGATTTTCACTTTTAATTATATGTGTTACTATGCTCCACTAGGGGACAATACATACATTGAGATTTAAACTCTTCTGCTGATGTGAAAAAAGTGCCATTGCAATTAAAATAATAAAAATAAAATGCAACAAAGTTATTGAAAACAAGGCAAGTAGTCTAAGTTCGGGCGAAGCCGAACATGAAATATCCTCCGCACCTATGAAATATAGTTAGTTCACCTTTCGCCCTATATTTCAAACCTTTTCTATAACTATTTAGTATCGCCCAGTTTTCGAAATTCGACATCTGTTTTATTCACTTTTGAATTTCGCTTGTGACCAATATTCACTCCTTTATGCGATTGACGATTTTGAAGTCACCCAGCAAAATTTATAGCGAATTTACAGAAATACCTAGTTGGTACCTACGTGTATCGTGTGCACCTTTTTTAAAACCTGGTACTACAGCCACCGAGAAACGCAACCGCTTGGCAATAAAACGCTTATCAAAACTATTCGCCACTAAAAATACACTGAGAAAAAAAAGCGTTGTAAGAATAAAAAAATTTGACTTGATTTCCGTTTAAAAATGTTCGTATTTAAATCAAGTGGAAAATGTTAACGAAATGGATTTTTCCATTATACATACACTACGTATAATGGAAATATTCAATTCAAATACGCCCGTATTAAAATGAAGAATTTTTCACTGCACGGATGGCGTTTTACGAAAAAGCATCTGTGCACTTCACAACTAAAATTTAAAACGACTTGGGTTGATGCTCTTTCATATGCGTATTTTTTTGAAATTTGGCACGTTTTTTTTAATTCTAAAATTTTGTTTCCTCAGTGTACAGGTTTTTGTTTATTTAAGGCCAATTAACAAGAGAATTTGAAATTTTTTATGGAAAAGTGTTTTTGTGAATACTCACTTAAAAAAAATGAGTTTAAAAATTCGATTAATCGATTATATCTCAATAATTGCAATTAATTTTTTTTTTGGTTTGTGATTAATCATATGACTATATATCGAATTTTAAACTTTTTTTGCCATCCCTAGCCATGGCTGATTTTCAGTAGGTCATGATTAAATTACGATTTGATGGCATATTTTGCGGTCAAAATTCAGAATGGTGTTGCTTGCATCTTATATACGTTTATTTATTTATTTTCAATAATCATTTATATATATATATATATATGTATGAAGCAGAAACCACATGCATAAAAGTTTCACAGCTTGCACAAGGTACACAAAAATTAGTCAAGCTTCAAAAGATTTCATCAAAATTTGAAACTTATGCAGTTTTGTAGCCCAGTGTAAGTTTCAAGTCACTATAGGCTACCGCTGATTTTTTTGAATTGGTTTTGCTGAAAGTTTTGAGCATTTTCTTCCATATTCATAAAAATTAACTTTGTTGATGCGTTGTATGGAGGAAACTAAACCTGCAATTTGTTATACTAAAATGAATGGGCTATAAAATTGTATACGTGGCAACTATCCTAAATATGGTTTTGAAATAAATACCTTCCAAATTCTTCTCGCTTGATACCCATCTTTCAATAACTAAGTTAACTTATAAAATAATTTGAATTTAACTTTTAAAAATCGGTGGCAACCCTCTTCAAACACCTCGAAAATATTATAAATGTTCAAATTAAAGATTCTTTATCACTCTTTGGTTTGACAACATAATTTTATATTTCATATAATTTTATTAAATTCGACTTTAAAACCAGGTGGCAACCCCCTCAAAAGTTCTTTAAAACTAAACCTTCTTAAACTTCTTTCGTCTGACGCGCATAGTGTGATACATATTTCAATTCTTTTCTTTTCGATAAAATAAAACCTTATTTTACATTTACAGGGCAAGCCCTAAAAGTCCTTTAGTTTAATTTTATATGACTATATTTCTGCATAATAATGAACAGTTATTTTAATCTAAATCTGAATCTCGATCTAAATCTTAATTTTAATCGTGTCCAACAACTTCTCCTATTCCCCAACTTTTTCTGTCACTTTATAGTTTGGAATTAGAGTTCAACGAGTGTGTCACTTTTTTTGTTACTCCCAATCGAACGCAAAGAAGTTTCACTTCAAAAAATTTCAGCTTTATAAATATCAATAATAATCAGTGTACGTAACTGATTCACTGTATATTGTGTCGCTTGAAAAAATATCTTTGTGCAAAGTTGGA